CACTACTATTATGGATTACTATATTAGAATATTTCGCTGAATTCACACACTGACAATATTTACATAACAATGGAATACCCGTATCTGACAAAACTAAACAAAAAAAGGGGATACAAATGAAGGACCATTTTGTATCTGTATATACAAAATAGTTAAGATAGATATACAGCTACTTTCTCTTAATTCAATGAATAGAAAGATTTGCAATAATAGTGTTTGTGGACAGGATATCATCTCTGTATCTTATACTATGAATAACCACTAAGAAGACAATGCAATGTATTAATTACTGAAATTGTCCTAATTGGTTTTGAAATTGTGTCATTGCTATTTGCTCCTCAATAAAATCATTGGAGAAAAAAAAAGATCACACATGTGGGGTAGGCTTGCTTTCCTAACACCACCTCATGAAAAGTAGCTCTTTAAGAAGGCCATCATTCGTCTCTTTAGAGGCCAGGGCTACAGTGATCTAATTGCTCACAGGTTCTCCCACCTTGTGACCACGGGTCCAGTACATGAAACTCTGGGGGAAAAGCATAATCAACAGAAGTTTGTTTCAACCTCTTGGCTACAGTGAAAATGTTGCTGCGAACACTGCCATATGACTGAGTCCTTGTTTTCAAATCATTTGGAGGTATATGCAGAAGTGGAACAGAGAGTTTTGTTTAACTTATCTTTAATGAAAAAAAGTAAGTCAAAACTTCGTAACAAAATAATAGGAAAATGAGCCAAGGAGATAGATAGCTCAGTGGTATAAGCACCTGCCTGGCAAACGCAAGGTCTTGAGTTTGATCCTCGGTACCTAGCAACAATAACAACAACAATAATATAGTTAATACATTGAGTATTATCTTTTGAAGTAATCATAATACAAGATATGGGCATAAAGATTCTCCAAGCAATATTAGTGCAAACTTTTCAATGAATTAAGAGAAATTTGTATAGTTCAACTATACTAAATCACAGTGTAACTGTCATATATCCATTATGTATATATAATAGATATACACACATACATTTTGCCCCTTTTCTCTTTCCCCTGTCCTAGTTCCTTGCTCCTTCTGAACGATTTCTAACTTTCTGAGGAATTACCAAACACACCTTCAAACTGGCTGCAGAGCACTGCTCGCCCACGGACACGGAGGTGGGCTCGTTTCCCCACATCTCTGCAAGGCTTCATTTTTGTCTTCTGATTACAGCCACCTTGGCAGCTGTCAAACGGTATCACATGGTGGCTACCAACTACTGATAATAAATATTTTTTCATGTATTTATTTTGTATGTTCTCTTTACAGAAATAATTATTCGAGTCCTTTATCCATTTTACAGTTTTGTCCTCCTGATACTGAACTGTAGGCTTTCCTTGCTTATATTTGTTTTTCTAACACAGAATATCACTTTGTAGTTCAGGCTGGCCTCAGCTTTGTGGAAATCCTCTTGTCTCAGCCTCCAACTGCTGGGACTAAGCATTCATCCAGCAAGTTATTTATTTAGTCTAGCTAGATACCCAGTACCCTCATCAGTACGTGATTCGCAAACACTTTCTCTCCTTCTTTGGGCTACCACTCTCAGGACAGGACCCTTGCATGGGGGATGGGGTGCACCAGAACCTCACACCTGCCAGGAGGTGATGTGTCCCCGAGCTACATCCTCAGCCTTAGCAGTGCATCCTGATGCACAAAAGTTTCATTTTCTTTTCTTTTTTCTTTCGTTCTCTTCTTCCTTTAATGTATTTAGTACAGTCTGTAGGGTCTCACTAAACACATCAGAATTGTAGTGATCCTTCCTGTTTTTCAGCCTCCCATGCGCTGGGATTACAGGCAAGCACCACAAGGAGTGGGGCTGGCAAGGCAGGCCGGGAAGTTTTCACATTTTCAACAAATCTAAATTACCTTTTTCTATTATTTCCTGTGTCTTTGGTGTTATGCTAAAGACTCCACTGACAAATTCAAAGTCTTCAAGATTTGCCTCACATGTTCTAAGAACTTTAGACTCTTAAAATTTAGAACTATTTTATCTATTATGAATAATTTCTTGTAAAACATAAAAAGAAGGGCTCATCTTCATTAATTTCCATATGGTTATCCAGTTTTCTCAGTATTACTATATTTGTTAAAGAGCTGCCTTTTTATTAGGATGCTATCAATGATATGCTGTCCTTTTTGTTCTTGTGATTTTTTTACAGATTCACTTTGGCCGCAGCTTGTGGGGATCTCCCTGCCTTGGCTACTCGAGTGCTTGGATTACACAGGCATGTACCATCACACTACTTACGTGTCATTTTAAAGTTTGCAATTCTCAAACTGTGATTTACTTTTTTTCAATTATCTTAGCACCTTAGTTTTTATTTTACAATGTTCTTAATTTTACTTCAAAAGTTACAAATGTTCAATTATCTAATTTAAATAAGGTAAACAAAAAGGAGAAAAACTAACATTAAGAGAAAGTCATAGATAACACTTTGGTTTGTTATTTATTCAAATATGTTTAAAGATTTAATGTTCAAAAATTGCACCATCTAAGGCAGTTAGATTATCTGCATTATCTACAAAAGGCTACGTATGAATTAATTAAAAACAACTAAATATAGCTCCAAAACTATACTCATGACATTTCAAGCACTCTATAACCACATGTGGCCAGTGCCTACTATACTGGACAACGATACAGAAAATTTCACTCACTGTAAAAAGTTCTGTTGGCCAAGAACTGCTTAGAATGATTTCAAATTATATATTTTCTAAATAAATCCTGATCTACTACAAGTATCTGCAAAAAATTAGTTTTCAGTTCACTAAGTATACAAGTGTGCACACTCTTTGAAGCACCAGGTACAAGGAGACGTCAATTCTGTTTGCCAATTTCCCTGTTTCCAATCTGCATGGCTCAGATTCTGGGCACAGTAAAATGGAAAGCAACCCAAAGGTCCCTGAGCCCCAGTTCACACAGCTGCTACAAATCTAGCAGTCACTGTAAACACTAGCACAGTACCAGTAGTCATTACAGGAAGTGATGTCGTGTTACACTGCCTGCAAGTACCATTTACTTTCATTAATATTACCATTATGGCCGAATATGAGTATCCAATGATGGCCCATTTGTTTTGTTTTTAATTAACTTTTCTTAATCTACTTTTCAAAAAATTTTCTGGAGTAATCAATCTACTATGATCTCACAAGAGGTTTTGTTTGTTTGTTTTTTGTTTAAAGATAAGCTCCTGCTTTGCTGTCCGGCCTGGCGTGGTGGGGCTGCAGAGGTGCGCCTGCGCCGCACCCGGCTAAGGGCTTGTGGCTCAGAACTAACGTGAGCGTTTCCCCGAGCGTGCTTAGGTGCACTTCCTCAGGGTGTCACTTGGTTTTTTAACTGTTATGACATATATATAAAGTTAACATTCATATTAAATAAAAATTGATATCCTTTGTTTCTACGTGATGACATGCTTAGAAACAGCCTTTCTTAATTTTATCAAGCTTATTTATATAGATATCATTAATTAATAAGTACAACCCTTTAAATTGCCAAACAATATTTCAGCAAAGTAAACATACACAAGAGAACATTCTTGTAAGACAGATTATTAATGTATCCATTTTACAAGTAAAATACTGAAGCGTCTTGATTACAGTATATATTTAATTTTTTGTATTTACTATTTTACCTTATACATTTAAACATACAGGTTACATAAAACATACAATGGATATAGTATAAGGCATTATACTAGACTATGGGGTAGAAATGTATAATAGAATCCACAAAACTGGATATCTATTTATATGTGGAATAAGAACACTGTATTTTTATATTTTAGAAATGTAGCTCTCAGAACCTTTGCCTTTTTTGAAAATATTTCCATTCCGTCTAGACATTAAACCTTTTACCTGCATTTTCTTTAAAATAAAGAGGAAAGTGAGCTACACATAAAGGATTTCAGAAGAAAATAAAAGCACATATGAAGTACCAAAAGACAGATCTATTCTATGAAAGATACAACTGTATGGTCCACTCTGCTGGCCTTTCATAAAATGAAAGGTGATTTCCTGAAAAAGGACCTAAACAACTCCGCGGCACGTTCCCACTCTTGCTATTCACGCTGACGTACTTTTTCCCCTCACTGGCAGGTTTAGCAGTGGCTCCAATATACAAAATTTAATGCTTGCTTCTTCTACCATTTCATTTGACCTTACTGGCTCAAAAATAATTGAAGCAGGTTTTATTTGGGGCAGTCACAACATTTCTTCTAGTTTTCCTGCCTTTTTAAAGAGCAGTTTGGTAAAGCCATAATTAGTTCCATATTATTTGAAAAAAATTTTCTGAAAGATAAATCTACAGCTTTAATAATATAAATTAGTCTTTCTTCCTTGTCAGAGGAATCACTTCTACTGCAGTTTTATATTCATGACTGGTACATTCCTCTACTACATCTATCGCATTATACTCCAACTACTTCCATGTATGTCTGTCTGCCTACCCTACTGTGGGAGCTCTCTAAATTCAGCTCAAAACTGGTATATCTTCTCCCCCCACCTCCTATTTTATCCAGTAAGTCGACACAGCCTGGTAAATAATGGTGGCCACCCACCTTCTTCTTCACGGACCAACCACAGGCTGGCCAAGAGCAGCTGTCCCCTAGTTTCCTCAGTATTAACACATTCGTGTATCAGACTCTTCCTATAAATACTGTCCTACGGAGTGCTCTTATTTACAAGAAGATATGATTAATTAATAAGTCCAACCCTTTAAAATGCCAAACTATCTTTTAGCAAAGTAAATAAACATACATGAAACACAACACTGTGAGACAGGTTATTAATGTTCGCATTTGACAAGTAAAATTCTGAAGTTGTAAGATTAGAAATTTGTCAAAGGTAACAGTGCTAATAGATCACAGAGTCTGACATGAAAATAGGTTCTATAATTTCAGTGTACCTTTCAGTACAACAAGCAGTTTTCATGCAAATAACCTTTAACGAAGCATCAATGGTACCTGAAATACTTACACTGACCCCAGCGCCCAGTTCTTGGGTTCAAATAATTTGGATAAAGACCATTTGGACGATCCATTTTCTGAAGTAGTTTCCGAATATGCATGACCTCAACAAAATAAAATTAAGAATGTCACCAAACATTGATATTAGCTTAGGTTTTATATTTTTCCTGAAAACTCACATCTAGTCCCTACCTTTTTTATGTATGGTGATTATAAAAGGCCTCTGTTTCTCAAGTGAGTCACTGTTTTAGTAAAATAATACAGGGTCATTATTTGAAAATCAAATAATAACAAAAGCAATAAGAAAAGGAGATCTGAGATAAAGCACTTTATTTATTTTTTGTTTGTTTTGCACTGCTGGGAACTGAAGCCAGAGCTTTGCACTTGGTAGGCGAGTACTCTACCACTGCGTTGCACCTCATCACAGTGAAATCATTCTAAATCCCAACTTTCTATTAACAAAAAATATCAATCAGAAATATCAATGATAAATATCATTCCAGAAATATTCAATATAAGAAAACAAATAATTCCATACATACACAATCATAGCATTTCTATTAAAAGTATCAATTTAATGTGCAAAAAAATGAAGTAAAATCAAATTGTTAAGTTTTAAATGCTGTCACCATAATACATATTCCTATACTCCTAAAAGGTCTGAGTTCAGGAGAGAAAAATTACAAAACGGAGACTTTCCTGGGAGTAGTTTTGGATCCATCTCTAGACTGGCTGCATTTTGTAAGCGCTCTGGGATGCAGGTGTGTGGTGCTTAGGTAATATATCAATAGGTGTCCTATTCTATGTACTTTTTAAAATTTGTTTGAAACTGTAATCTTTACATTTGGTGGATAATCTGGCTGGCATAAGGACTTGTAAAAGCACTTTCTTTCTTACAGGACCTCCTACAGACTTTTCTGGACTTTAACACAGCAACTCCTACCACAAGGTTGTCTATTATCTTTCATCTGGTGTAAGTGGGCTTCGAATATATTTCCTGTGTTACATACAACAAGTTAAACTTGGATAATTGCACTAATCAGTTTCAGGAAGTTCTGAGTGTTATAAAAAATAAGAAAATTATACTTTCTGTCATCTAAAATGACATAAAATACTAAATTCTGTTTCATTTCCTTATGTTTATAACAGCTGCTGGTTTTTCTCACTTTGGTCTTTAAGTCCTTCACTATCTGCGAACTATCTCTCTCTCTACTGTCCCCATCCGGGGCTTCGCAATCTCTCCTTACGCTTGTCTCGGACCGTGGATCCTGAGATCTCCGAACGCTCGTCTCTCTGTTACACAGATGTTCTTTCTTATGGTGACATTTGGTCAGAATTTTCTCAACGCTATTTTATGATGAGTATATTTTGGTCACTGTATTTCACTTTCCTTCCCTACTTTTTGTTTAAGGGAATCTTTATATAAATTATATAATTTTGTTTTTTGATAAGCTCATCACTATCTTCCTTGAACATGCTATTCACAAGAAAATTTTCATATACTGTAAAAGACTAATACAGTGCAGCCATAAATATCCTTTTTAGCTTCTGTTTCTCTCTAGCCAGATGAGACTGGCTGGACTGAGAATCTATTACTTATTCCTTTTCTCTACCCTGTTCACAGACACAAACATAGCCTGGCTCTGAAATTTTTCATTCAACTGTTATGTTTATTTCTCAGTACACTACACCTAATCAAAAGAGATACAATTGGCCTGTGATCTTACTCTCATTTATGAAGGTTCTCTTCAATGTTATTTAATAAAGTTTTGAACTTTATTTCTGTTGGATTTGGGGGAATCTACACTTCTGTTCCTATCGCATGCGGTAAATTTTATAAAATGATACCCTCTCAACTTTGGACGCTTGTTAGAAATATACTGAGTTTTAATGTCTACATTGATCTTTTTATGCAAAATTTTTTTTCATTTAAATGTAGACTATTAGGACTAGGGTACAGCTCAGGAACAGAGCACACGCTTTTAGCATGTGCAAAGCCTGGGTTCAATCCTCACCATCAAAATAAATAATTTTTAGGTACACTGTCTTAATGTATTAAGTAAAAAAAAATCCTATCATCTGAGCACTGGTACTTTCTTCCTTTTCAATTCTTAAACTTTTTGTTCACTTTGTTTTTCTTGTCCTACCAATCTGGTTAGGAATTTCAGCTCAATGCTGAACAGATATGAAAATGGAATTTTTAAGAAACCTAATAGTGACTACAGTCTCTCAAATAACAATCAATATTTTAAGTATGTTGTAAATACAGCAGATATTTCTTAGAATAATTTAAAAAGAAAAAGAAAAGGTCAGGGCCTGGATAAATATTTTAAGTATTAATCAAGTCTTTGGGAAACTTTAAAGACTCTTCTATAAGAAATAAAGAAACGGGGGGGGGGGGGCTCACCTTTTTGTAGTAAACCAGGTCCCCCGTCAGGTAGCTGAGGTGCACAAACTCCATATGCAGCGTCCCAAATTCAGCCAGAATGCTGCTGCCTGCAGATGCCCAGCCCCAGTTCCGACCAACTCCACTAAAGAAAGGAAAATAAGAGATAGGATTTGGAAATGAAGTTTTTAAAACGTTTAATGACTGTGTAAACTTTAATAAACTAATTATATTGTAGGGGCCTTTCTATACCAGTGTAAAAAATACTTTTGTCGGTTTTGGTTTTGTCTCTTAACAGCTGCACAGAACTCCACGACACCGGTGCTTCTCACGTGGAGTGTCCATCCAGGGGCACATGAAAATGTGTGAGGACAAAGCACAGTACCTTGTCTCAAAGCCTGAAGATGAAACCTGCATCTTGAAAATGTGTGAGGACAAAGAACAGTACCTTGTCTCGAAGCCTGAAGATGAAACCTGCATCTATTGTGCCAGGCCAGGACCAAAGCTAGAAAATGGCCTCTAAGTGTCAGAACAGTACCATTTAGTAAACAACTATCCTAGTCTGAAGACTAGTAATGCCTATACAAGACCTACTATACTATACAAATAGACATAACTTACTTAAACAATCCTCAACTTAGTCCTCTACTTGATGGTCCCTTGGGGTATTTCCAATGTTCTATCATTATGAACTCTTACAAAGAATAATTTGCATAATGTCATTTGTATACATATGATCTCTGTGACATGTTCCTGAATTCTTTTAGCCAGCCCTGTTTTATTTGACATATGACTTTATAAAATGCAATGCTGGGAGGGTTTAAATGATGTTATCTTTTAAAAAAGTTAAATTCTCCTGAGACTGATCAAGCACAGGCAGATCCCCTGGGCTTCGGCTTCGATATGCTTATTCCATTTCAGATCTATCGCTACTTTTAAATAATGGCGCTCTGGGCTCTAGGCTGAAAGTCAGAGAGTTTATCATGGTTCCTCCACTCCGGCAGATTTAACTAAGCCTCCGGTCTCAGTACAATGCGGTTCTTAAGCTGTTTCCTTAACACTTCCAGCTCCTTCTGCAGTTATCTATGCATGTGAGTTGTATTTCATACATATATAGCTACTGAATTGCTAATGACTTGAGGGAAATCCGTGAATAAATGTTTGAGGCTTTTCTCCATAATTCCTATTGTCTGAAATTGTATCCTTCATGTGTTGAGCCATTTTAGCAATCCCAACATCTGACCATTTCTCCTCTCTACCCCCAAAAGATAGGCTTCTAATGTCTCTGCACCATAATCTATAATATGCCCTCAGGGGAAAAGCCAGTTTGTGTGGAGGCAACCCTAGCACCTGTCCCCTAAGGTCCTAACTGAGCTGCTTCTAAAGCCTTCAAACTATTTGGTTGTATTTATTTTGTCTAGCTTTATGATTACTTTTGACACAAGGGAAGCCTGATAAAGACTATTATGTGATTAGAAACAGAAGCTTAACTATTAATGCATCAGAATTCACAGATTATTCTAGAATGCTAAATCATTCTCTGGATTTTTTTCCTGCTTTTGAGAGAAAGGAACATCCACAACCATGCCACTCTGAATGCACTCAATCTCATCTGAAAGAAAGTAAAAATATAATTCTTTCTCATAGCCACTTGTAAGCTGCCAATTAAGTATGCTATATTTTAGTGATTTGTGGTAAGAAAACATTAAAATTGTTACCCACACATATCTTCTCCTGATTTAAAGTCCCTTTGTTATAGGCAGCTGAGTTAGAAATATTATAGACAGTCAGACAGGGTTAGGCCCTCAAGGAAACAGTAGGGAAAGTAAGGCTTTACAACTTTGGAAGAGACAGACACCCCTGCTGTTTGCCAGAACTCAGGACAAAAGAGTAAACAAATGTAGCCACAGAGCTCCATAAGGGTAGACATCAGGGACTGATATGCTAAATAGGCCTCTCACCTTGAAGACACCTAAAAGGGTCACTATCCCAGCCCCCTAAAGGAAAAGCCCATTCTATATTCATGCCTGCTTGCTACAAGACTTTCCCATTTGGCCCTGGTTTTAATCAATTTTATCTGAGCAATTGTGCCATAATCTTATTGGTTGGGCATAGTTTTGCCCCACCTCATGCCCATCTGAGGAAGTTCCCATGTTGTCTACCTTACAGCCCCTCATCACATGGTTTTGCTGTATAAAAATCCCTAGAAAAGAGAGATTTGGGGCAACCCCCTCAGCTTCTCCTCTGTCCCTCTCTCAGACAGGAGCTCTTTCCCCCGATAAACATATTGTACTCTTAACCTCTGATTCCTAAAATTCACTGGTCAGTTTTAGAGAGCACACCTTGGCCCAGGCATCTTTCGGGCGGGGAGCGGCATTCCTCTGTATCACCTCCACTGCTATTTTTATTCTGTCTTTGAAACAATGGACAGCAAATACCACTACATTTTTTTTTTAATAGCTGAAGGCTGAATCAAAGAAGAAATATGTACGTATCAACTATCTAAGTCATTCATGTCACAAATAATGCTATGCTGTGGAGATCTTGATAAACAAAATATGTGTATGTCTCTTCTCACTATAAAGACCATTTCAATACTAATGATTGTAATGAAAATGAAATAAGAAAAAATACTGCACTACATTCAAGGATAGAAAGTGCACTACAAGTGGTTTCTCTTTATATATTATGTTCTGAGAAATAGTTTGAAATGACAGTTTGCACTGAAACCTGAATGAGGAGTAAAATTCGCAGTATGGAAACAGACAATGGCCCAAAGGGAAAGAGGGGGTGGCTGCGAGGAAAGCTCAGGAAGCAGCTACTCAGGATGAGGTCTGAGAGCTCCGTGTTATTAAGACTGGAATGCCCAAGAATCCCTCAGGCCACAGTGACATTTTACAAGTGCTAAGTCTGATGAAAAGTCGCGGGGGGTTTTAAGGAATATATCCTAATGATTTAGAGTAAGGTATACTATTTAGAATGATTAGTTAGGTTTCAGAATCATGAATTTACTATAATGTGGTCAAACACAAACACATAGCTTAGGCATTCCAATAGTTTACTATTTATATTTCCTGCAAAAATTTTCTGAAAAGCCACAAAGACAAGTTTCATTCACACTATACTCACTTTTAAAAACAGTAAAATCTAAACATTTTCATCTTTTATATGCAGCCTTACAAGAAGAATATAAAACTAAATCTGACATTTACATATATTCTAAAAATTGAGAAAAATGAGAAAATCCCCAAGAGCAAGGCATAAATTTACAAAAGACCAAAAAAAAAAAAAAAAAAAAAAAAAAAAA